TTGGGACATCTGCTGTGAAAATGCAACTGAATTAAACTGAATCAACTGTGGTTGAAAAACATGGTCCTTCCAAGATTTTCCATCATCACAGCCCAAATATTGCCTAACCTAGGATCAGGTTCCCCATCAACATCAGGTCTGGTCTTAGATGAGTCTTTGAAAGTGACCCTCAGATATTGCCAAGATATTGCCCTTCTAACCTAGGATCAGGTTCCCCATCAACATCAGGTCTGGTCTTAGATGAGTCTTTGAAAGTGACCCTCAGGGCACTGTCCTGTAGACCTTGGCCTAGATCATCTGCCTCTGTACCACTACCAGATACCTTGAAGATGCTGAAGGAAGTCACAGCCGACAATTTATACGTTTTGTAAAGTAGAGTTTTAAACAGGAGAATTTCAGAAGCATCTCTTGGATCCTTTAGAGAGTTCCAGATTGTATTACTGACCCACAGAATGGACACTCATGCCAGCTCAGTTTACGATTACCATAGTGAACTCACTTCTCCAGATGCTTCTAGAGGTAAATCTGGAGTCTAATCTCACTCTGAAGCCATCTCCCTTGAATCAATCTTCATCCAATAAAATGACAACTGTATGTTCCAAATTAGTAACCATGACCTACCAACATAGCATCCAGCAGCAAGTCACTCTTGTAGCAATTCACCAAGTAGCAACGGTAATGAATCTCAGCTGAAGGAACATCATCTGTCCAAGCTACAGTTGAAGAAATGACCCTTCCGTGAACTTTCATTACAACCATCCAGGAGATTGACCTTGTATGCCAATTTAGGATCAGCCAAATCTGACAAGGTCTGAGCTCATCCTATGAAAGCATTCCTCAGGGGACTTCCCTGCAGGGCTCGGCCTGGGCCATCTCGCTCCGTGCCATAATCACGCATACCTCGTAGACACGGAAGGCGGCAAAGGCGGTGGTCAGCAAGCAGGCAGCCCCAAGGATGTACCACCAGTTGAAGAAGCCAAATGAGACGCCCTTGACGATGCAGTAGAGGCCGAAACACACCAAAGCGACCGTGGATAGAATCTGGACGCACACTGGCGGCCCGGACGATCCCGATTTCTCCTCCATTGCTGGGTTAGCCTAGAGTGGCCCACTTTGGCTTGTGGCTTCTAGATGGATGGACACGTGCATTGCTTTACAAAGCATCTCTGTGAAGCTGAGGCCAAACTGACTTCATAGAAGATGGTAGAAAGTTGGTGCATTCAAAGTGAATCTGGATTCTTTTGGTTCCTCTTGAGACTTCAGGACGATGACCCAGGAAGTTGGGGCAAATCTTGGTTCACATGGTTCGTTTATGTAGCTCAGTGCGATGTTGACTTAGAAAATGAAGCTCTGGACTGGAGAACACCCAAGCTTTATATACAGCTCAGCCAAAGCTTACACACAGTGAAACCACTCTTCCAAAACATTCCGTAGATAAATCTAAGGTCTAATCTCACTCTGAAGGGGTATAGAGGTCATCTTAGATACCCTACAAGGGATTACAGTCAGGCTGATCTGACTCTCGTCTTGGCTACTTGTGCTGATCCACAACTAACAAGCAATCAACGAGAGTGTTTTTGATAAACAGCTTAAAGGAGTGACGGGAGATTTGGAGGTTTTGCAAGAGATGCAAGTGAGAAATGCAGTCTTGTTATGTGTGAAAACAGAAGGAAAAGCTGTGAAAGCACTGTGACTGTTGACTGTAGTTAACAATGTAAAAAAACGTAACACTTTCCTTCACAGTCCCTGGGTATTGATCAGGGAACTGAGAAAGTACTAGGTAATTAGACAGGTTAACTAATAACACTGAAATTCAGTGTAAACAGATTCTAGGTATTAACTGGATCAAGTGTGAGGTACAAACTCCAAAGCACTGCGTCATTATTTGGTGTAAAGTACTGCCATGGTCTAAAAAGGTTACACAGAAAGGTTCTAGGTATTAAGCAGATAAAGCAATACAGTAAAATGCCTTTATTGGATATTTATTTGAAGTTGGAAGGTACCAACTTTGGTGAGTATTTTTTTTAATTTTTTTTTTTAGCCCCGATGTACTTTTGCTTCTAGGTAACAGAAACACACACGCTATGTAAGACTCTCAGGATTAGGGTTAGTACCTTGTACCTTGTATCTGCTCCTGGAGGTGTTTCCAGTTCACAGTCCTGCTTAAATCTCACCAATGCCTGAATTCTACCAATTTTTCTGCATAATTCAATCATAATTTATCATTTCAGACTGAAAGAGTGTTTTGATGGAGAATGTTTCACTGTGTTTCACTTACCATTTGTTTCTTTTCCGTGCTGATGACAACACAAGTTTTATTTTACAGTCCCTTCTTGTTCGAGTTTTCCTGTTCCACCTCAAATGGTGCAGCAGTCACTTTCTGGTGCCTGAAGCTGCACCATTTAAGGTGGAACGAGAAAATTCGAACAAGAAGCTGGAGAATAAGAATCTGACCTCAGCTTGGTGTAAGAAGGTGCTAACGCTAATCTATTATGAATATCTACACGGATTAAGGAATGCTGTAACTTACCGAGCTACAAAGCTTTAACCATCACTGTAAATAAATAACTACTACATCAAGTTAAGACCCCCTGAATAGACTATTAAATGAAATAAGCTTCATATAAAACCAGAGGAAAAACAATCACATCAACAGGTTCTCTGTGCTTCACCAACCACACGGCCATATCTACACAAACACCACACAAACAATACACATCACACAGACATGAGTGTGGATCACTGCGTTCCCTCCGTTATATAATCCTATCCCACTTTCTAAATCAATATTCTTGGAATAGTGTAATTTTGGACAGTATCTTTCTGAAACTGCCGCTCTGTAATGGTACTGAATGCAGTCCAGCAGCGAGGTTGACCTCCCCAAAATGGTGGTGCGTTGACATGCCTGGCTGAACCCAACACGGCAAAACTTTAGGCCCAATACAGTCAAGAAGTCACAGCGTGCTGCTTCAGCGTTTGCATAATCTCACAAATCAACACAGGCTGTAAGGAAATAAACCCCAAATCCTCTTTATTGCTTCAGTTGTGGAATTCACATGGACAGATGCACATGTTTATCAAACACAGCAGGCTGATAATGTGAGAAAGAAGTAAATGACAGTTGAGGGAATATTTTAAAGTCTGTGGTTAGGGGGAACAATAAGCTTCATTTGGTCAATTGAGGTTTAGGCCTGAACCTCTGTAAAACAGCTTGAGACAACAGCCAGGTGTCCATCCACGTATTTTGACATACCGAATAAAATTTAATGCAAACAGTAAATTAGAGGTTTTGTTCCAAAACAAACGCTTTCAAGAATTTCATCGCTTTTCATGATGTACATTGTTGGCAGTGGGCTTACATATATGTGATATCAATGATATATTATGATAATTTCACCTTTATTTGCGTAATAAAAACGGATTTTACGTTATTTGCTGCTGTTATTCTTTTGAAAAACATTATATTATTGTTTTAATTAAAAACTGTTACAACCGTAGCACAATATAGCATTTTGGAATTAAACTCTTCAAATATTGGATTAAACTGCTGAAGTTTGAATAAAAGTTTGTATGCTTTGTGCAGGGAGATTCACTTGAAAGAGGCCCCACATATTCTGTGATAACTCTCTCTAGAATGAAGCAATCTGAACGAAACATTGGCAATGTGCTCCGCAGTATACAAGCTGGGATGCCCCTGCGTTGGAGCGGTGAGGTAGGCGCCGGACAGCCGTCGCGATGTTTAACCTCCGTTTACAACTTCCGGGTGCATACCCCCGTACCCCTTCATGTGTCTGGCAGAAAACGGAGATCACTTCCAGCATCACATGTAATGCAATCAATTACACATACGTCAAGATATGTAGCACATATTTTTGGTTCAGATTGCTTCATCCTAACGGGAGTTACAGCAGAATATTCGGGGCCTCTTTCGAGTGAATCTCCCTGTATCTTTGCAGATATAAAAGAAATGCAATAAATTACAATGGACTTGCATGAAGGTCCCTCAGTTTTAACCAGCTGCATTTTGACTCTCAGAGTCATAAGCCACGAGTCAAGCCTGACTCCCAGACAGAGTGGAAGAATCGTCTGTTTTGGAGACGACACTTCATCACAAGGTTAGAATACAATATTTGTGGCTTGGAAAAAAAAAAGACAAAGACTAAACAAAGAACTGAATATAAACATAATGAACATTCAAATCAGTCAGGCCGGCCCTGGAAACCTGGCTACTGTCTACTAAAAATGGTAATGGAACTGGAGGTCAGCTGTTCAAAGCTATTGGTCACTATTTCACTGGTCCATGAAGAAGTATGTGGAGCACTGCAAAAAATGGTATCTTGTCGAGTGTAATGATCTGAAATCTAGTCGATATATCTAATATTTCCCATTTTGAGATGGTTGGGCACGGAATAAGATTATTTAGCCTATTTCTAGATTTTTTTCTTGTTTTCGGTGATTTTGTTAACCCTTGTGTGGTGTTCAGGTCTGTGGGACCCATTTTCAATGTTTACCTAAAGAAAAAATGATGTGGTTTATTATTATTTCAACCTCAGATTCTTGTCCTTTGCTCATTTTCTGTGAAGAACAAACAAAATAATCCATTTTCAGTGTCTTCACTCTGTTCACCCCCCACACATTTATATTACACATGTGGTGTTGGGCTGAACCCACAGGGAGTAAAAGTGTGGAGGTGCTGTGTCCTTCACTCTGTTCTCCTCCTACATGGCCTGCTGTTAGTGTGTGTGTGTGTGTGTGTGTGTGTGTGAGGGTGGACAACATGGACAGGCTGCTGACTGGCTACAGCTGCTAAAGGAGAACCCAATGCTGGACACTTGTGATATTTTAAACATCTGGGTACATAAACTGTTATGGCTGTATTGATTTAAAAAACAATAATGTGGTGGGTCCACCAGACCACTGAGTAACAAACACATCAACACCACACAAGTATATTAAAATTATCTCGCTATACTGGCAGATAATTTTGCTGGTTTCAAGCACATTTCTTAAAACAAGCAAAATGATCTGCTAGTATCGTGAGATAATTTTACTTGATAAAATTACTTAATGTAAAAAAAATGTAAAAAATGTATAGAAATAAGTTACGCAATCTTAAAATGGGCTTACAATAATCTTTTTTAATAGACTATTGGGGGCAGTCGTGGGCTGGAGGTTAGGGAACCAGCCCTGTGACCAGAAGGTCACCAGTTTGATCCCTTGGGCCAACAAAGTGCCCTTGAGCAAGGCATTTAACCCCCAGCTGCTCCCCAGGTGCTGTGGATAGGGCTGCCCATCGCTCTGGGCAAGTGTGCTCACTGCCCCCTAGTGTGTGTTCACTAGTGTGTATGTGGTGTTTCACTGTACGGATGGGTTAAATGCTGAGGTGGAATTTCCCCACTGTGGGACTAATAAGGGTCACTTAACTATATTTAAGATCTTGACAAGTCACTGTTTTTTGCAGTGAGTATATAAATGTGCGCACCTGTCTAACACAATGAGAGTGGTTTTGAACGCACCCATTACAGTTTGTGTGACTCTCTCTCTCTCTCTCTCTCTCTCTCACACACACACACACACACACACACACAAATACTGCATTTTAAACTGACGAAAATGCACTGCAGTGGAATTTCAGCAAAGTGTAAAGCGTATAGTTTTATGTAGTAGTTTCTAACACCCAACAGATTTCAGTACGGACTCATAAACCCTGCATTTCTATTTGCTTTGTAATAAAAAATAAAACAGTAGAACCACCCTGTAAGAGCTCGATCCTAACACTTAATATCATCCATTATCATTGTAATCATCTCTATAGACCAAATCACTGCAAATTCAACCACATGTGGAATCACAAAGTCACTAAAAAACATTCCACTTTACATTTAGAACTCAGCTCTATGGGTAGCTTAGGAATCAGTTTAGGAACAAAACCTAGTATTTGGCAGTTTCCAAACACCACAAATTCGTAAATCATTAAGGTTAAGCACACGTACACCATTACTCTCGAAGCTTTGTGTCAAAAAAGGGGGTTAATTCATTTCTCCACAATGTTGTTGCAGTAAAATTAGGAATTAAAAACAAATCCTTAAACAATAAGTAGCCTAAAAGTATTACTTCAGATGAAATATAACTATCCCCACCCTTTATGTTGCATAGTATCTGACTTCTCAAACAGGGCAGAATCCTGAACCCCTTGGACTGTTTTTCTGGGTTAGATCGCCCCCTTGTGGGCTAATTCAGTAGCACAAGGTGTGTGAGTTTCCACCACCAGATGGTGCTGTTGTGCTGAGGGAACATTAGTGAACAGTAGCATGCTCCATCAGTGGTTTTGGTGAGGAGGCGTGTGCTCAGGCTACTTTTACGCTTCCTCTCGTTAAGTCATGGTTCATCAGCAGGTTTCCAACAATGAACTAATGTCCTCTGGTTAAACAGTCTTTCCTGTCGCTGCCTGGACCTCCACAGCCACCTGCAACAAACTGGATCTCATTCTCCGCAGAGAAGTCTCCGAGGTCCATTACTGTCCAATACGCGCCGAGCCAACGCGCCCATCAATGACACATCCGTGATGTCATCTCCTTCTGCAATACCAAAAGAGTTATATGCATTAGTGGAGCATCATAAGTACATTTTCATACACATACAGAGGAGCATGGGTCGCAACCTAATTCGGACAGATATTTCTCAAAATTTGCCCTGAAGGTTTTTGGACCATGAAAAGAATTTTGTTAATCATGTTTTCTTGATTACTGTGTTGTGACAGTCACAGTAACAGAATTCACACATATATTAGTTTAAACACCTCTTGGTGGGTGTAGTATAAGCACCATTCCGGCATGGAAGCATGGAAAAAAGCTGGACAGACAGAAGTACAGGCTCCACATGGCGGAGTTAGTTTTAACACACAGACTAAGCCTCCTAATGTAAACAATGAACTCCATATCCGCATATACACTCAAAACAGTTCACTTTTAAAACAGTTTTAACAGTTAACAGTTTTTATGCACAGATTCATCAAATACATATCATAGTCATATTTTTATTTCTTTTTTTAATTAGGGAAAAGGAAAAGACTGAAAAACTTTCCATTATTTAATGGCACTCACACAAACAATACTGAGTAACTCAATATATTTTGGCGGTAAACTTTTTTAGGTCTCATTTTTAAGATGTTACTGCAAATGTGTTGGGATTTATAGCTGTTTATTCTCTAAACGATGAATGATGTGATTGTGTTCTAATAGCTCCCTCCACTGGAGGAACTTCAGACTGCTAGACGGGAGCTCCAAATCCACGTCTACGTGTTTTACGTACATAAAATCAAAACAAGACAAAGCAAAACAAACAAAAAAACAAGTGTTTTCTGTCATTGTAACAGAGGCGCTCTGGACTTAAGGCGTATTTTATTTAAAGTTTTTTGAAGGTGTTTTTAAAGTATTTTAACACTGGCTCTTTTTTGTCTTTTTCACATTATTAAACGGCAGAAAAAATGAATGCTGTGACATACTGTGCATTGCGAATCTTTGGTGGTATTGTTGCTCTGTATTTTTGCAATGTTGCCACCCCTACAGGAATTTATCTCTAAAATCACCTTTTATTTCAGTTTTTGGTGTGTCCTGAATGTTGGTAGTATGCATCAGTAGTTTACAAGCTCATATTAAAATTTTTGGTCCAACTTTATATCAAGTGTTTCTAATAACTGTGTAGTTACACATGAATAACATATGCAACAACACTACTAATGATTTAGTCACTGTTACAGATGGATTACAGAAGTACAGCCTCTGTAATTACACGTGTATGAACTTCAGTTTTGCCTCATGTAATTACACAAGTGTCTCTTCTCGATACACTACAGATCAGAAGTCTTTTCCAGCAGTTAAAGGAAGTATGTTTTACATAACATTACATTTATGTTTTATGTAGTTACTGTGGAATAACTGTGTTGTAACTAGGTAACCTTATCACATCACATTGATTAATACCACTCTGTAATAATACCATTCTGACTTTCCTGTATTGCATTGTTAAAGTTACACTCTAAAATAAGTGGACAGTTCCTGTGTAGTTACTATGTAGGTACTGTGTAATAATGCAGTGGTAATGTAGACGTTACTTTGGGGGGGAAATGAAACACATTTAATTAAAGTCATAACAGTTACATGTTAATATAAGGGGTCGTCTGCTGTTCTGTCACATTACAGAATGCTTTAAAGCTGAAACTGGTTACAGTGTCACAGCATTAGCAACATAAATGCTGGCTAAATGTTAGGAAAGCTGGCAGATACAGTGTCAGTAATGTTTTAATGTAAGTTATTACAGACTTCCTTTCACTGCTGGAAAAGACCAGAAAACAACTGCTGTTCCAGTCTGATTACAAATGTAATCATATTTGTGTTATTACTCTTGTGTAATTACATGAGAGAGAATAAGCTGGTACAACTATTAAGATACACTTGTGTAATTACATGAGGCAAAACTGAAGTTGATACACATGTGTAATTACATAGGCTGCACTTTTATAATCCATCTGTAACAGTGACTAAATCATTAGTGGTTCCATTGTTGTTGCTTATGTTGTTCACATGTAACTACACAGTTACTAAAGACACTTAATATGTGCTGTAAACACCTGAAAAGTCTGTGTGCTGACATCACTACAAGGGCACAGGACTGGCATTATTCCTAAGTGACACTGTCACAGCCTAGACATGACATTGTTCAAATATCTTCAAAATAAACCTGCTCAGTCATCGTTACAATAAAGCAACAAAGAAAACGTTGATCCTGATTAAAAACAAAGCCAGGTGTCTCCAAACCTTTGAATGTCATGCACTACCTCCTTATTGCTGAGTTGGCTCGCAGAGATGAGCAGTGAATCAGTTCTGAAATTCCAGGAAGAATAGTAGGCCTACTTTTTTAAAAGCGCCCTGAGCGAACGACACACTTCAGGGATGTAAACGTTTCATCGTTAACTTGTACTCAGAGATGTTTCCCTGCTAATAGCCTACCTATGACGTAGATAGGGAGTGCTAATTCCTCAGTTCATTCAAAGTTCAGCTTCTGATATCTCTTCATGTCCTTGAGGGATTTGTTTCATCATGTAAATTTGCTGGTGGTGGCTTTTTAACCCAGCTTGTCCTCCAGGAGGGGTTGTGTGTGACCATGTTTAGGTTTTAGCTACATTTAGAGGAAGACAAATACAATGTGGCAGGACACAGAGTCATACATACAGTGTGTCCCATATATATAATACGTTCCATATAGTACTGTGCCCAAGTCAGAGGCCACTCGTCATTTATTTAATGTTCAGTTAAAATGGTCTTTAGGTACAAGTTATTTATTTGTCAGCAGATCTTTCTGAGGAGATTAGGTACAAAAAAAACATCACTTTATAAAACTGGTGCTCAAAATATTATTACAAGCTACAGAGAAAATTGGACTCCTAACAACCACCTGGAAGAGCTTGTAGACCCCAAAACTGCCCCCATCTGATAAACAGCACTTAAAGCTTTCATCTCTGAGAGAGAGGAGAAAATCAAGCTGCTTCAGATTTGAAAACATCCACAGGTGTTTCTGTCCATCCTTCCACTGTGAGAAGACGACTCAGCGCTGTGGGTCTGAAAGGATGTGTAGCTGATCAAGAAGAACCTCACTGAGAAAAGGAGACGGACACATCAAACAAAGAAGCTGAGCAATGGACTGACCACCCCAGAGTCCAGACCTCAACATCACTGAATGTGTTTGACTACTTCAGAAAATGATCAACCAGCTTCTAAGACTGAACTTTGGAGGTGTGTCTGCAGATTCTTTGAGGAACTGAAAGTGAGTCTCCTGAAAAGAATAGAGGCTGTAATGAAGGAGAAGAGTGGACACGCTAAATACAGAAAAAATGTGATATTATATTTTGATGTCTGTGTAATTTTCTGCTGTTGCTAAAAAAATGAAATCTTAAATTAGCAGCTGGTTTGATAATTGAAGGGTGGACTCCCACTTTTGCACAGAACTGTATCCGAACGTTATAATATGTCCCATATATATATATATATATATATATATATATATATATATATATATATATATGTAAAAACTTATATTTAAAAAATCATAATCCTAACCCTAATCTTAACTTTTGTATCTATACTTTCTTATGAAGCAGTCAGGCCTGTATTTCAGGTTTTCCTACACTGTCGGGATATTTTTGTCATAAAAATATATGAAAACAACCAAACACACACACACACACACACACACACACACACACACACACATACACATATAAACACAGACTAAATAGACAGAAGGAAACCCTGTAATACAGAAATGTCCCTTTTTTGTCCAAACTGAGAAAAAAATCTAAGCTAAAACTGATGACTTCAAAGATAAATAAATATGCAAGCGTAAACCATAAAATCATAACTTTTGTCCATGACCTAAAATAACACAGTAGCGCCTTTCATCTGTTTTGGCGGTGACGCTGGGCCTGGCCTGTATGACTTCACTGGGTCTGTAGTTTTGCTGTTTTTAGAGCCGCTGTGCGGATTTGGCTGTACGCTCTCCCTCTGTACGGTCATGAGGAGAGCGTATGATAAAGGGTAGAAAGCCGTCTTTGTTCCTGCTGGCCTGGTTAATGAGGCCACTGTCCCCGTCTCGCCTGTGTCCGGCCACCATAGCTCCCGTTAGCGGGACGTTTTCAGCCTCTGATTGGGGTGCTGGGGAAAATGCGGTTAAGTTGACCTCAGAAGGCCTGCAGTGATGTCTAAACGGACGTTAAAGGAATATTTCAGTATTTTTCACCATAACCTCTATCTGCTGCATCTGTACAGACCAAATAGGAATGTTTGTAAACATTAAGGTTGGCTACACTTCCAGGTGGATAACTCACATCCAGTCAGCTTGGAAGCAGCTCAATTTACAGCCAAATTTTTGTAAACACAAACAAAAAAATCTTTAAAAAAATACAAAAAGTATTATTTTCATAAGCTGAAACGTTGAGGTTAGGGATTGAGACAGTCACCTCCCAACAGAAAGTAGAAAAAAAGGTTCATCAAGGTACAAACAGTGTAAATGTTCCCTCAAAGGTTCAACAGTGGTTTTCAGGTCTGATTGAGAACCTTAAATAAGTTTTTCCAGGTGAAAAGTTCGTATTTGTACCTTTTCATAACCGAATGTTTTAAAACAGAACAGTAAAATAAAAGCCTGGAGACGAGACGGGGTGTGTGGAGTCAGTACAACTTAGAACATATCATTTCAGTGGATTATGGTTCAGTTATGTTCCCTGACCAAAGGTACTGAGATGGACCCTTGAGGGTCCCACCCCAGTGACCAGAGTGACAGTTCAGTACTTTTATTTCTGAGAGTGTATAAATGATGATTTTGTATAAATTCAGCTTATTACTATCTTAATTAATGCCTATAGTTTAAATAAATCATAACATAATCTTAAGATCTGAGTCAGTAGAATGGTCCATATACTATATGTAAAACTGGAGGAAAACTATGATAATCAAATGAATGTTTTACTTCACACAAGAGTGACCTGTGTGGTACAAATGACTCTCCTGTTATTTTCACAGATGACATTCCGTAATAAAACTGTTTTTTTCTGTTGTCATAGTGAAACTTTGAACTACAAAGATAAATCAAATGTAGATCAGATTTTAACATTGCTTAATGTTAATTAGTATACCTAGTTAAGTGCAGAGGGCCAATAACATCACCAAACAGTGCTGTATCTGGTCTCACTAGAAAAGCAGAGTGAACAGTAGGGGGCAGCGGTGAGACTGAGTCTGGCCACACTGATGTATGCTGGTTGCTCTTTGCCCCACTGAGGCCCTGAGCCCGTCTCCCAGTGAGTGTTTAATCTGCTTTCAGCCTTGACTCTGTTTCAGATTACAATCCAAACCCCCCTACTAAACATGTCAACACCCGACTATCGAATCAGCTCTGACTGTCTGTGCTGCTACAATCCTTTTCATTGTCTCTAGGTAAACCGGTGTGTGGACATGTGTGGATGGGGCTTCTTACTGACACTTTTCAAGTTTTCACAATTTCCTTTAATTAGCTCAGTATTTTCTTCTGTAAGGGGTGGCGTTATTGGAATACACCGATCAGCCATAACATTATGACCACCTCCTTGTTTCTACACTCATTGTCCATTTTATCAGCTCCACTTACTATATAGGTGCACTTTGTAGTTCTACAGTTACAGACTGTAGTCCATCTGTTTCTCTGCATACTTTGTTAGCCCCCTTTTACCCTGTTCTTCAGTGGTCAGGACCCCCATGGACCTCACAGAGCAGGTACTATTTGGGTTTTGGATGATTCTCAGCACTGCAGTAACACTGACGTGGTGGTGGTGTGTTAGTGTGTGTTGTGCTGGTACGAGTGGATCAGACACAGCAGTGCTGCTGGAGTTTGCAGAGAAACAGATGGACTACAGTCTGTAACTGTAGAACTACAAAGTGCACCTATATAGTAAGTGGAGCTGATAAAATGGACAATGATCATAGAAAAAAGGAGGTGGTCATAATGTTTTTCCTGATCTGTGTATACACAGTGAAGAACCCTTGGGGCATTCAGAGAAGGCCTCATCATTTTTAGATCATCTTTATTTAATATAATCATCATGCATGCTGAATTTATACTATATGCAAGTATAGAAGTCATACTTCATTGTTACACATTTTGGTTGGAAACTCAAGGCTTCAAGCCTAAAAATGTCCAACTGAAAAATATCCGATGAGGATTTTTCTCTGTAGTGTACAGGTAGATACAGCCAAGTGAGCTCTCCACTAGTCAGGCCTTCAGGAACTGGACTGAAGGCCTTACACGTTAGATGAACTACCAACATATATCAAAGTGACAGTGGCATCAACCAATCACGGTTTGATTTCCAATGGGTGGGACCAGTTTTGAGAGAAAATAACAATACTCCAGAGCAGGGGTCAGCAACATTCGGCTCTTTTACTGCCCTGTTGTGGCTCCACAGCAGAATCAGATTTGTAGGTAAAAATAAAATAATCCTCCTTTACCGTAAAATAAAGCTCTGCTGATCGTTCAACACAGTTTAACAATAAATGGTCTTAAACTCTGGAGTTAATGTAGAACTGCTGATTCACCCTTTAACCCTGAGGGTTGGCGCACAGACTGCTGGTCACCATAGCAACACAGACAGCAACACAGCTAGCAGCTAAAGGAACGGCAAAGAGAAAGATTTAAGATGAACATCGATAATTTGGAGACAAATGGACTTATTTGCATTTATAATCACTCCAGCTGGTTTCCTGATACATTTAATCTGCAACGTTTGAATTTTCTCGTTCCACCTTAAATGGTGCAGCAGTTACATACTGGCGCCTCAGGCACCATTTAAGGTGGAACGGGAAAATCTGAACAAGAAGCTGCTAATAAGAAGCGACTTCAGTCTTGTAAAAAACGTTGAGAGACATTTTACAAGGAACTGTTCTACTTTTGAGGAAAAGTTTCCTGCCGGAGATGCGAGAAAAGCGGTTATAGTTGAACTAAAACTTAAAGTCTAATTTTTTCATTTATATTAAATTTGTTAGCCTACACCAGCACATCAGCACATACTGAGACATATTGACATCCAAGATGGTAAAATGGACATGAAATGTTGTGGTTTGATGTCTGTTTAAAGGACAGCTGTCAAAAAGAGTGTTAATATACCCACCAGTGGCTCCAGCTCTTTGCGGTCTATGAGGTTGAGCTCAGTGCAGAAGTAGTAAAAGTGCTTGTAGCAGGTGTTCACATGAGCCTCGGCGCCCATCACGATGATGCGGTCGAAGTGGTGGATGTAGACGTGTACGAAGACCCGGAAGAGCCGACATAGGATTTTCTTACAGATCTGAATGAAGTTCTTAGGGAAGGGGATTCCTGAAACAGAGAGAGAGACAGGGGATATAATTAGATGGAAGTGTATACAAAGAATAAAAGAGTGGCTATTTGTGACGTCAGTAGTCATTGCCGTTCTTCCCTTAAAACTTTTAAAAGCTGATTCTATCATCTGAGGTGAACAAGGTGATCAGTAAAGCTCAGCGCTCCCTGAGTAATTCAACACATTCAACCTAAAAGGGGTCAAAGCTAAAGTATAATATGTTATTTGCTGTGTTATGTATCAAATGCCTCAGCTTCTTCGGTTCATAAAAATTCACGATTTTATATCATTTTTAAGGCTTCCAACCATCAAGAATCCCTGTGGTGTCAACCAATCCTGACCGCTAGCCTAGCTACTTATCTACAGGCTAACAAAAACAACAAAGCTAGCGTAAGAGCTAACTCTTTCCTCGATCACCAAACACAATCATACGTAAAACTGTGATCAGATCTTTACTCAGCACAAAAATTCACACCACAGATTTTTTACCCTTTCAGCCAGAGAAAAGAAGCTAAGTAGCTAAATAGGTACTTTGCTAACTTGAGCTTTTAGCTTGTTGTCCTCCTCAATTCATTTTTGCTATTTGCTCAACCCATTCTCTCCTTTGTAATGATGGTTTGTGACAAATTAACTTAAAACTTGAGTAATTTACCACAGTTATATGGCATCAATGAGCTATTTAGCTTCCTAGCTAATTAACTCCTGTCTTTATTTTGCATTCTCCAGCTAGCGAACAACAAAGCTAGCATTAGTGAAACTCTTTCACAATCATAAAGAAAACAGTGATTAAATCTTTATTCAGCACACAAATCCACACCAAAGATTTTTTAGTCTAACTACTGGTAGCTAAATAAGTACCTTGCTAGCTTTAGCTTTTAGCCTGTAGTCCTCCTCAAGTCATTTTTGCTATTTGTGCAATTCATTCTCTCCTTTGTAATGACAGTTTGTGACAAATTATCTTAAAACTTGAGTAATTTACCACGGTTATATGGCATCAATGAGCTATTTAGCTTCCTAGCTAATTAACACCTGTCTTTCTTTTGCATTTTTCAGCTAGCGAACAACAAAAAAACAAGGACTGAATGCACAATTCCATCTTATCTACAGGCTAACAAAAACAACAAAGCTAGCGTTGGTGAAACTCTTTCCTTAGTTATCAAAAACAATCATAAAGAAAACAGTGATCAGATCTTTATTCAGCACAAAACTTCACACCACAGATTTTTTACCCTTTCAACCAGAGAAAAGAAGCTAAGTAGCTAAATAGGTACTTTACTAACTTTAGCTTTTAGCTTGTTGTCCTCCTCTAGTCATTTTTGCTATTGCGCAATCCATTCTCTCCTTTGTAATGACGGTTATCTTAAAACTTGAGTAATTTACCACAGTTATATGGCATCAATGAGCTAATTAGCTTCCTAGCTAATTAACACCTGCCTTTATTTTGCATTCTCCAGCTAGCAAACAACAAAAAAACAGGGACTGAATGCACAATTCCATCCTAAAGCAGCTGTAATGTTTCAAAGGTTCTTCCCAGCTTCATGAGACGTCATCAGAAGGTTTTTACACCTTGAAAATCTTGCTCTAGAAACTACAGCTGCACCACTGTAGGAGGCTGACCAAGCATGTTTATAACAAAAGCAGCGACGGCTGCATTTTCCATTTTGGTTGTAATCCTGCTTGAAGGATGTCTGACATGTTTAAACTCACCCTTACAACATTACGTATAAGGCCAACACCTCAGCTCTGACCAGTGCAAGCCCTGATATGCTCCAGTCATTCTCAGTGCTTTTAGTAAAAATTACACTACCGCACAGTTGACTCAACTCATTGAGTACTTGGTAATTAGCTGATGACTCGATTCGGGTGTGTCACTGCAGAGAAAATGCTGAACAGTGGCCCTTGAGGGCTGGAACTGGAGATGCCCGGGCTTGACCGTATGCAGGTAGGCCTGGTCTGGTCCCAAACGATTCCTTAGCAGCTAAAACCAGACTGCTGCAAAACAGGATGAGTCTACATGGCCCACACACACCCAAAAGGAAATGTCTTCCACAACTGGTGCTATTAAAAAAACTGGACAGTAAAATGTTGCAGTTCAGAGCTGACTAAGCAACTCTACAAAAAGCATCATTTTCCTCTCAGATCATGAAGAAGAATGTGCAGCGTTTGGGGCATTTCGGCGTGGGCAGTGTTCATGTTTTATCCAGGACTTTTATCTTAGCGTTCGATAACACAGCAGCGTTTTGACTGGAAAGACTCCGGAGTACAAATCTGTAGGCTACGGGAATAAATTAAGAGTTTCATTTCCATGGGAAGTGGTAGCGTGCATACATTTGTGCGGGTGTGTAGGTAGAGAGTGGCACTGAATGAGAGGGCATTGTTGCTAAACAAAAGCTCCTTCTAATCTGCTTATCACTGGGTGAAACAGACTCTTTATTTGAACAGTCGGAGCGTGCTGGGCCCTCGACAAGGCGCTCCACTGTTGACCAACACTCGAACCACTGTTAGCCGGATTTTGTTCAAACTAAATCAACACAGTAACACTTAAATGAAAGCCATAACATTTGTGTTTTTGAGGCCATACGTCCTTTGCTGTGGAGCCTAATGTGATTAGCGCTACACTGCAATCGCACCATATGGTGAGATGGAGAAAGGCAGCTTTACAATGGCGTTCACCATGCTAGCTTGCTAAGCATTAGTGTCCATGCTGGCATGTAGATAGCCAGATGGCCACCAAGAGGCATAGGCTGGCCATGTCACCGAGGTCAAGATGGGCCTCTAGCTGTGAAGGCATGTTCCTTTTTCAGCTTTTGCTTACATCTTGATGTCCAAGACATCATTCGCTTAATAAAATCATTTGGTTACCAAAGAACTACATAGCTCTTGTGTTTGCACTCAATAACTGTTGGTACAAGCTGACCTTTGATTGATATGCAAATAGATTAACTACATTTCCCAAGATCCTCCTCTCAGCTTAGACTTTAACAGGCCACATGCTTCTGTCACAAAGTCCTACTTTGCCATGGCAGCTCTCAAAAACTACAGATATTGCCCTCTTTAGGTAACAGTCACTGGTAGTGTATGACGTATTTATGGCTAAACTACATTTCCCATAATCCTTCTCAGGTCACTAGTGTCCCGCTTCAACAGGCTACATATTCCTGTCTCCAAACTGCCAAAAGATTACACATGTATGTGCCAAAGGCCTACTAGCTCTCATGCTAGCACTAAAAACTACTGCTACTGTCCTGTTCAGGTAACATTCTCTGGTAGTGTACATCATATTTACAGCTGAACTACATTTCCCATAATCCTTCTCACGTCCTTAGCATCCAGCTTCAGCAGACTACATATTTTAAACAGATTACAAAGTTTTGTACCAAAGACCATTTAGCTCTCATGCTAGCACTCAAAAACAACTCCCCTGTGGTTTGGTTCCACATTACACCAACAAGAATCCTTGGGCAAGACTCTTAATGCTATATTAGTCTATCTCTGTAATGTGATTAAACTGTATGCTGCTCTGGATAGATGCATCTGTCAAACACATTCTATGGTCATTCTATGGAAACGTCCATTTTTGTGTCTCTAGCATTTACAGATCTATTACACTTGAAAAACATTTCATGGTTACAATTTAATTATATTTTAAAATAAAACAACAAGTTATTTTAACAGTTACATCTTCCTGAGCCTCAATTTAGCAATATTGGTTTTTAAATCAATTATGTAGAATTCCAAACACCATAGAAGAGCTCGTCCTCAGTCATGTGTAAAGGGTGAAGTCATATTTTCAGGAAAAAAAAATGTTTTTCTGCTATTTTAACTGCAATAATCTATACATGACTATGAAATACATGATTTAAACGACACAAATGCCAGACAAATATTATAAAAAAAATAATAAAAGTTGTGGTCACCAGGAGTCGTGTCACTGTTGTGACTGCGTAACAAAAACCCTCTTATTTTGAAATAAAAGTCACACTGATGACATCACTTGACTTCCTTTTACCTGTTTTCTGAGAATGACCCATAAATGTAAATGTACAACTGAACTACACTCCCTAGCCTTCATCAATAGGCTACACATTTCTGTCCCTACACTGCTAGGCCAAATTTAGGCCCCGCTTGCTTCCTCTGCCAAACATAATCTAGCAGTTTACCCTAAATCGGACTGGCATCCCTAATCCTCTCTATTGGGTAACCTATTATATAACCTCCAATGTTTCATTTGTAGTCTGGAGACGGTCTCACACTTTCGCACAGACCCCTCACTCCTCAGCAAACGTTTTTCTCAGAGCTTTAAGAAACCCATGAGAAAGAGAACTTTCTCACAGTGTGCAAAGCGTTCGGGTCAATTTACTCCAAATTCAGACATCTGGAGGGAAAAAGATTGAGAGTGAGGCTTTAGAAAGGCAACAACAATACGATGATTAATTAAGATTAAAGAAATCAGGACCTTTACCAAATGGCTGAACATGAAACTGAAATGAGTAGTCTAAAACTCTAACCTTACAATGACTCAAGGAATCATTCTTTAGGAAGTGATTCAATGATTCAATGATTCAATGCATCAAAATTCAATTTGTTTTGTTATGGTTCAGTGCTCTTTATAAAAATCAACTGAATGCAGAAACGTAAGAAGAACTATTTACAAAGCAGCAAAACACAGGTAGTAAAAACGCTGCACTAAACTTTTTATGTCTGAAAAAGTCCTGAGAATTTACTTTTTGAGCGCAAGCAAATAATATTCTAATCGATTATGACCTTTCAAAGTCGATGCAGCTGAATCGGCACCTTCAGACTGATGTTTCTAAACTGAGGGTGGGCGTGCGACTCCTGGACAGTGTGTCATTTTGTCTGCATCTTCAGTCAGTGTGGTGAGGCACGGAGCCGTGTGATTGGACAGCAGGCCTGTCGTATCCTTTATCCTCTACCGCAGTGAGGGTTTGTGTTGTAGGTCAAAGGGATGATTCTCAGAGTCATTCTCTTAATCTGCCCT